CATACGCTGACAAACGTGGACGGTATCAGCAACACGTCCGCGCTAGAAGCTTTGAGAGGAGCGCTCCGATGCCCGTCTCCATTCTGGCAAGAATTGACTATCAACCTGCCAACGACTATCCAACCTGTAAACGCATTTACGATTTTTGCTATCCTGCAATCATATAAAGCATTCTAAGATGCGAAAAGACATCTTGAGTGTAAACAACCACCAACTTACGAATTCATTTTAAGACTTTGTTAACAAAGCGAGTACCATTACTCTTGAAGTTCTTATGATCTATCAAAGAACAGAACGAGCTCAACTCATAAGAAAAGCAAGAAACAAAAGCCGCATTCGTTATCATCATACACTCGCTACAATGCAATGTAAACATATTCATAGCATGGATACAAAAATTTTCGTCGCTGTTTTTCAGCAGCGGCGCAGTCAGTTTCAACAAGCGAATCGCAAAATCTTAAAATCTTCATAAAAACATGGAGTCTTAAAATCTCCAAACGTGGAAACAACATTGACGGCCCGAGCTAACATCATCACGCTAACAGTAACGTCATAACTTTGAATGGTAACATTGACATCCAATAGTCTTTAACTCGATATTGTTATCACTAACAGTACCGAGCTGGGAGGCTAACTATTGGGGTTGGATTTCACCCGCTCAACGGTGAAGTCCAAAGTTATGAAAGCGCAGTGCACAGACACGAAATCGCATTAACGTATAGATATTATATGATCCTCCCAAGTCATTTCCTAACTAGAAGATGAAATCTTTCTCTTTTCCTAAGTCTTCTCCGTCCAAGAAGGAAGCCTTATGAGTCCTCTCTACTCGCAGCAGAAGTCAGGAGTGCAGAACCGGTGCCGTGCTAGCAAGGTCACACTACCAGCGATGTCACATAGCCAGTGATGTCGCACTGCCAGCGAAGAGCAGTGCCAGCGAAGAGCAGTGCCAGCGAAGAGCAGTGCCAGCGAAGTGCAGAGCCAGCGGTGTCACACTGATAGCGATGACACAGTGCCAATGATGACACTGGCTGCCGAAGACCTGCCAGAGTAACGAAAAAGGCCAGAAAGTTCCCTGCGCTAAAGCCCGGTCCAATGGCGAAGCCCACTTTGACACAACCGACGTAAGGAAAATCAAATCCGCGAAGACTTAGGAAAGTGAAGATT